GCAGGGTGTGCTTCTCAATGCCTGCCCAGGCGCCGTGGGCCAATGTTGGGCCACCGCCGCAGAGGGCAGGCAGGCGACAGCAGACGCCCACCCCGCAGTCCGATCGGCGTGCCCGATCGTCGGGGGGGACGGCTGGTCGCAGTCAGCAGGGAGAACGTGCCGATCGACGACGACGGCGTGGTCGTAGTCAGCAGGGAGAACGTGCCGTCGCTGGTGCAGACGCTGCCGGGGCCACGCTCCCGCGGCGGCTGGTGCCGACGCCTGGGCCAGAGGCTGAGGCTGCGCCCGAGCCTGGGGCTCGCAGAGGCCGCTCGACGTTTGGGCCTAGGCGGACCCGAGCCTCGTGTCGGGCGAGGTCGGCGTATGTCACGTTCGAGGAGAGCGAAGTCGAGGAGGGCACGGACACGGAGGATTCGGCGGCGATGCAGCCACTAGGGGTGTTGCCTGCGCTCCCTGAGGAGGCCAGGGCGCACCCTTCATGGCTGGAGCCGCCGCGCAATGAAGAAGCAGTGCAGGTGCAAAGGAGGTATCTTCGTCGCCTGGCCATCGCCTCCGCCAAGAAGCTGCGTGCAAGTCGGCAGCTTGGGCACCATGAGTGCGTGGTCAACGATTTGGCGCAGGAATATGCAGTCCTCATGACCATGATCATAGTGTGCAGATCGCCGACGGCCAGGCTCCAGCATCAGCGTGCCTTTGTGGAGCGGGCCGAGAAGAGGATGAGACGGGCACAGGGCGACGTCGATGAGGCACAGGCTACCCTCGTGCACAAGTCAGGCGTCCTGTCCCAGCGTTCCAATGAGTTGGCGAGGGCGCAGCTAATGTTACGCCAACTGGAGACGCACTACCCAGAGCCGAACAGCGATGTCATGATGTCGCCGACGGCAGCCGCAAATGGGGACACCGGCGCAGCCACACCGCCAGCAGGCGCGTCCCCGCGGGGGAGCTGCCCAGCGGATGCGCTGGCGGCGAGCTCTGTCGCCGACATCACGGAGCTCCAGCAGGGCCAGGTGAACATGGCGCAGCAGTTGGCGGGGCTGTCGTCGGTGCTTGGCGAGCTGCAGGCGACGATGGGGCGGCTCGCAGCGGGCGCGGCGCAGGGGCAGCAGCCTGCAGCAGTGGCGCCAGCAGTGCCAGCGCGGGAGGCAGAGGTGGTTGCATCGCCAGGCCCTGCCGCGCCCGTGGCGGTGTCGGGCGCGCCAATCCTGACACAGGCCCAGGCGCGTGCCGCGGCAGAGCTACAGGAAGATTGGCGGGCATGGTGTGCCTGTGCCAGAGGATGCTGATGATGATGTGGCTTCCGACGACTGGGGGGCCAAGAAGGCTGCCCGATCGGCCCGCGCCAAGGCAGCTGCCGAGCGCCGCGCAGAGGCCGCCGAGGAGGAGCGCCGCGCCAGGCGGGCAAGAGGCATCGCATGCCGCCGAGCCACGCGGGCAGCTGCCGAGCGCCGTGCTGAGGCCGCCGAGGAGGAGCGCCGCGCCATGAGGGCAAGGGGCATTGCATGCCCAGGGCAGCCGACCATCGTGGCAGCCATGGCGGCCGGCAGGGCGGCATCGTCACCGATGTCAAGCAGGGTGGGGCCGCGTGTGGTTCCTGGAGAAGAGCGCCCGATGCCAAGGGGGCGCGTTGAGGCAGCCCGCAGTGCAGATGTTGAGAGGGTCGAAGCCCCAGACGATCCCATGACGGACATGGGGAGGACGCGGTTTCACGAGGGTGAGTTTGCCTGCGGAGGTGGGCGCCGCCAGTGGGGATTGGCTCTTGCCCAGCGCGCCTCACCTCCGCAAGGGCTGCAGGCTCAATCGTGCAGTTCTGTCTTGCCGCGAAATCCACTTCCAGATTGCAGCAGGCTCGTGGATGAGTTGTCCAGGCCTGCCGCGGCGTGTTCTCTTGCGAAAATTCTTGTCTCAGAGTAAAAATGAGAGTGCGAATTGCCTCGTCTTTTCTGGCGTCGTCTCCATTCTTCCATGCGCCTCTGCATAATGTTGTTGCGGACTTGTCAGCATGCATCGATCGACGATTCGCACTTGCACAGGCTGGTTGCATACGCGGATGTCAGTGCAGCGACGGAGGTACCATGGATGTGGATGTCCGCACGTGTCGACGACAGTGCGCGGGAGTTTCCGCGGGCGTCCCCCGCGAGCCTGGAGAGCGTTGCTGGCCCCGAGGTGTCCCCATCTTGAGGCCGGTGTGACTCCCATGGCCCCTCCCATCCTCATCTTCCCTTCTCATCCTGCTCCCTTCATCGCATGCGTGTTGGGGGCGGCAGTAAGGAGTGGCGGGGTTGGTGCAGGGTTACGGTCGTTGGGGAGGGCGGCTGCTTTGTCTCGTGGTGTCACATGCTTGACCCCGCGCGCTGGCCGAGGGCCGAGAGCACGAACAGCGTGCCCCGCCGCGCCGAGCTGGCGAAGTGTTCTCTGCAGAGGACAAGCGGAGAGGCCAATGTCAAGCCGCCCCATCGGTGCACTATTTCCCGAGGGGGTAGACCCGTAGAGCCCATGCGGGTGCCCACGATGGCTTAAGTGCGACGGAGCGTGTCTTCATGTATTCCCCTCTGCCTCCACCTCCGCACCTTCCACGCGCGTGGAGAGCGGCAGAGAAGCGGTAGCAGGGTCGGGTCTGTTGCTGGGATGGGGTAGCAGGGATGGGTTGCTGCCGCCTGCTGTCACTGCGTTGCCTGCCCACTGTGTGCGGACGCCGTGGAATGTGTGTGTGTCAGGACAGTCTCTCTGCATTTTGTAGTGCGTGCCACGTGATGGTGCTCAGGCGCGGGCGGCTTGGCCGAGAGTGCGAACAGCGTGCCCCGCCATGCTTTCTGGCGCGATGTTGCCCGCAGCGGACTCGCTGAGAGACGATGTCCTTCTCACCTGCTCTCTCCCCTGCTTTATATGTTCCCCCCTCTCTTTCCCCACGCTCGTGCACCGTCAATGGCGTAGCCTGCTCGGCGAGCGATGCGGTCGGGGATGGGCCAGTTGGTGGGTGGGATTGGAGCTGTCTTGATGTGCTCCGCCCGTTTGGGGTCGGAGCCTGGTATTGTTTTGACACGCGCGGCGCCAAGCTGTCATACCTTTAGGTGTGGTCGTTGCGGGGGGATGAGTATGGGGTGGCTGGGCCGTGAACTTGTACTCTCCTTGGCGCCCGTGCTTCAATGCTCTCGACTGCTCGTGTGTACGAAGCTAGCTGAGTGCCGACACTATCTGACCGCTGGTCATGGCGAATCAGGTCGCAATCCAAAATTCCTCCTCCTCCTCCTCTACCTCCTCCTCCTCCTCCTCCTCCTCCTCCTTCTCCTTCTCCTCCTCCTCCTCCTCTACCTCCTCCTTCTCCTCCTCCTCCTCCTCCTCCTCCTCCTGCTCCTTCTCCTCCTCCTCCTCCTCCTCCTCCTCCTCCTCCTCCTCCTCCTCCTCTCGCGGCCTCGTGCCGCGTCCCCGCCTGGGAGGTCCAGCGCTGGGCGGCGCGTCCCCTCCGCGTCATCCGCGCCCGGATGGCATGCTCGATGCGGGCACGCGCGTGGCATCCGGAGGGATCTCGCCCGAGGGCTCGGCCGCGCGCGCGCCGGCGCCTCAGTCGTACTCCGCCTCGTCGTTGCGCGCGAGGCCGCGACCGCCAGCAGTGTATGTGTGTGTGCATGTGTGTGTTGAGCGTAGTATCCTGTGCCTTGCCTCCCTAATTAAAGCTGTGCGTAGCCCGCCTAGCTTTTAGCGGAAGAGGTTCGCTCTCGCCCCGCATATCAAAAAGTGTGTTGAGCGTGGTCCGCCCTTCTTCGTACCATGTTATCCGCCGGCTGTATCCCATCGGCGCGCCCGAGTGGACTGCGCGTCGCGGGGTGTCCTTCGCTGTGTGTTGCTCTTCGCTTCGGTTTCGTTGGATCTGTCGTGCTTCTGTTGTTCTTTCCTCGCGCGAGGCCGGAGAGTGGGGCTCTAGACCGCGACCCACGGAATCGTCTGTTTTCAGCACCGCAACCTGCAGAGAGAAGGGCCCGAATCATTCAGTCTCCGATGCATGCAATTTGCTTCAACGGCAGGCGCAAACGTTGCGCACGACGGCTGCGCATGACGGGCGCACCAGTCTCACGACGTGTTGTTGTCGCGCATGCTCAGGGCTGGTATCGAGGAACAGTCCCCGAATGGAGTGGCATCGAGGCACCTTTTGTAGAGACCTCCGTCGGGCTTGCTCGAGCGGTGAGCTATCAGAAGGTATCGGCGGCGGGATCCGAACCCTACCCCCGGTGATCAACGATTCACTGTAGACGGGCTACAGATGTTCTGCGTAACGGCCTGGTAAGTTTCGGCAGTGTAGGTGGGTCTGGTCTGTGGCCAAGCTAGCCAAACTACTTGTAGGGAAGCGTGGTTTGCGCTTTCCTGCACCTTGCTGTGTCGGTTTCGTTCGATACACTCGCATGTTTGTAATGTATGAAGGCGTGGTTCGTGATTTCCTACCTTTGTTTCTGCGCGCGCTCGGTGTCACAAAAATCAAATTCTCTACCATGCCGTTAACCTACAAAGCCGTGTGCCTGGCCTTGGGATTCAGGCAACTCAATGGGCGGCGGCGGGGGTAACGTTCGGAATTCGTCGAACACGTGGCGAAATCCGAGCCCTACCCTACCTATGTTCGGATGTCGCCGCCTGTTTTGCCCCGTCAGCGCGAACCCTGCGCAGTGCTGTATCCCTCTTGTGGCCAGCCAGTCCACTTGGGACCGAGGGTGGAGGGGGGAGCACCTGCCTATGGGCAGGAGGTTGGGGAGTGGGCGGGGCCGGGCAAAAGGACCGGGCGAGGTGCTGAAGTGTGCTGGCGATTCTGCCAGCCTTCCTCGCGCCGAGATGCGCCGAGTCCAGCGCCGCTGGGAGTACGGGGGCTGGCTGCCGGAGGCCGTGCCCCCGAGGCCGGCCCGCGGCCTCTCTGATTGCGCAGCGGAGGCCAGCGGTCCTGTTCGTGGTGGCGAGGGGAGGAGGGGAAGGACGAGGGAGAGCAGGCCGAGGGGAAGGCGAGCCGATGTGGAGGGAAGGCGCCAAGAGGGCGATCACGACGATCACCAACATGAGCGACGAGGATGCAGCTGCCCGCGGTGGTCGCGGGCCGTTGCAGGTGGGCGCGGCGGGGGTGCGATCGTGCGCGGGTGCGGGCCCGAACCCGGGAGACCCCCGCTGCCAAACGTGATGGGGGGGAAGATCGTAGGAATGGGGCTCCTCTTCTTCCTCGTTCGTCCCTCCCTCCCCCTCCTTCTCCCCCCCCTCTGCCGCTAGCCACCGCCGCTGCTGCGGCTGCTCGGACGGACTGATCTTTCCAAGAGGTTTTCCTCCTCCATCCTTTCTCCTGAAGAATTATTGTGTCTTAGCGCGCCCCGAGACGTGTCCGTAGGGCGGGCCGGGCGTTTCGCCAGAGACTTCCTCACCATGTATGATCCTTGTTTTTTGTAGGTATATTATGTGTATATTAGGTTTTTTGTTTAAAAGAATAAAAAAACATTGAATGTGCTTAAGCATATATAACATGTACATACTACATACCCTATTAAGCATTATACGCATGTGTATATAGATATAAATATGTGTATATACATATATATATATACAATATTGTTAAGCAGCACGACGCAAACATGCAGCAGTTTGGCGCATGGAGGGCGGCTGGTTCTCAAAATGTGGCTCCCGCCTTAGCGCAGTGCGCGTTCGTCTTCGCAGTTTGCAGAAGGTTCACGGGTGGAGGGCGGGCCGTTTTCAAAATGTGTGGTTCTCGCCTGAGCGCGGCGCGCATTCGTTGTGAAAACTTGCGAACGTTTCGCGGATGGCAGGCGGGCCGTTTTCAACATGTGGCTCTCGCCTCAGCGCCGCTCTCCCGTGTGTCAACACTAAAGGTTTTCATTTCCCTTGCCCGACGCCCTTGTGGCCATTTGGGCTCAGGCGCGCGGCCAATTCAGAATACCTGTTGGGCGCTGAAGCTGGCGCTAAGGCCTGCGCCCTTGACATTGCGCCGCGGCGGATACGAGGAGAGTGTCTCCGTGGCGGCAGCCATGCCAGCGCGTCGGAGGAAGGCACATGGGGCCGAGGCGGAGTACCGCGGAGGAAGGGCGACAGCGAGTGGCAGCGCTCCATACGAACCTTCCGGACGGGAGCCAGCTCGTCGGGCGAGCACGGTCTCCTTCTCGCCGAGCTCGGGGCCAAACGAGAAGGATTAGCAGGAGGTCCGCGAGGGGTGCGTAACCGCGAAGGTCGCGTCCAAGGCGAAGCTGCCGGCTAGTATCACGGACGGCCACGTCATCGCGCACAACCCGGCCACGTGCGCCTACTGCGAGGACGAGTGCGGCGTGATCTCCTGCTTCGCCCAGGCCAATTCCCACGGATGCTTGTTGAGCGCAGACGTCAGCAGGGAGGTCGCCACAGCCGCGAGGAGCTACGAGCAGCTTCTCGGGCGCCCAATCGCACCGGAGGAGTGCGGACTGCACTGCAGCACGCTGCGCGAGGAGCAGCCGAGGCAACGGTCCAGCGGAGCAGCATCCAGCGGGGCGAGGCCGTAGGAGCTGGAGGCGGGCCCCACTGATGAGGACGGGCCGACCTCCGAGGAGGAGGAGGAGGAGGAGGAGGAGGACGTGCCAGCGACGCCGACGGCGCCATGAGTCACAGTTCCGCTCCGCAGGGGACACGGCTCCGAGGGTCGGCCGCGGGCCCCGCGGACGCCGCCCGCTGGGCGGGACTAGCGGGCCGCCCCCTTGAACAGTCGCCACCCAAGGTTCAGGCCCGGCACGGTGGCGGGCTTGCTGCAGGACCGCGATCCCACGAGCCCGCGGGGCCACCGCGTAGACAGCTCGCGTAGCAAGGAGCGAAGCTCGGGGGCCTGCGCCCCCTCGAGCGTGGCCAGTAGCCACCTCCGTCGGGCGACGGGCGCTGCCAGAACGCAGCGGCGGCGTCCCCGAAACCCAGCCACATATGGTCAGGCGCAGCATGAAGGGCCAGCGCGGCGAGCAGCGGGCAAGCGGACGCCCGCAGCACGAAGGGCCGGTACGGCGAGCAGCGGGCAAGCGGGCGCCCCCCCCTCCAATTGCCGAGGTCCCAGACGAATGGCGGGCGACCGCCGAGAACCACGTCCCGCCAGCAAACGGCAGCCCCCAAGGAGGGGCGGGCCCGTCGGCCTCGACGACGGGCGCTGCGTGGACTAGCAGCCCTCGCAGCGAGGCGAGTGAACGGGGCAGAGCAACGGTAGGTCGTCCGAGCGACTCGTCGGCCAACATGGGAGGGGGGCCTCGCCAGGAGCCGCTCGATGAACGACGCGCGGGGCAGAATTGAGTACACAGGTGCGCTGAAGTGGGGCGCCCCCTGCAGACAGCGGCCCGCTCGGCGAAGGTCAGCAAGGTGCGAACGACGACCTCCTCGGCCCGCAACTGGAGCCTGATGCAGACGTGCCCGAGTTCGAGGGAACGCTCGAGCAGGCGGCGGCGGCGGCCGCAGACTTCAGCGCGGAGGAGGCGTCCCTGAGGGAGCTCGTTGACCAGGCAGTGGGCGAGGAGCAGACGCAGAAGCGGATGAGGGCGCTCCATGGATGGCACCGTGGCAACCGACGAGGTGTTCTGCGATTCAGGATCGTCATGACCCAACAGCAATGTTGATTCGCGGCGGTGAAGTCCCAGAAACGTTGTTTCGGCACGATGGTTTTCATGTGGCTGGTTGTCTTCCAACGGGGCACTTCCCACAGTGATAGTACATTCTTGCAGGGCCTGTGAAGAGGGCGTTCGGGGGGACTTGCAACATCGTTGATGCGTCTTGGACTTCCACTGGTCCTCCTCCTCCTCCTTCTCCTCCTCATACTCCTCCTGCTCCTCCTCCCCGCTCGCGCCCCCTCGCGAGCTGGAGCCTGCGCTGGAGGAGGATGGGGGCGGGAGGGGGGGGAGGATCCGGAACAACCGAAGTTTAACTGGCCCTGACTCGTTTGTTTTCCCTGGGCGACCATGATCGGCCGTGCTTCCAGGTTCGAGAGGCCCAGCACTCACGCTAACGCCCGATCGGCAGCAGAGCGCGCGCATGTAGCACGGCCGGGGCATGCTCGGGCGTACGCAGTTGAGCCTCACGCGCTCGCTTGGTGTACGAAGACAAGCGCGCATCCCATCTGCATTGGAATGCACCCCAGCTGTCACAATCTTGTGATCAGATGTTTTGAAACGCGCGTCGATCTCTGCGGGTTTTGCGGGGTGAGAGTGTGAAGTGCTAGTGGGCGCAGACCTCTATGTTCGTGCAACAACTTCTGATGTATCGTGCGTGGGCACGAAAATCGAGGCGCGTCGACCCATCATCTCCATCACCATCGCCACCACCCAGCATCGATTGCATTCGAGGCTTCCCTCCACCCCCCCTCCCTCTTGAACGTTTCTGGTGGACAACGCTGCTATGCACCTTGGCGCGAGGGGCCCAGGTCACGGCTCAACCAAGCAGCATTGAAGAGGGCGGGTGAAAGGGGCATTCGCCAGCGGGGGCGCGTGTGAACAGGGGCCCCAGGACATCGGACCCGCCGGTTTATGAAGGGCGGTCCTGACTTGCGCAGCGGTTCGACTTCACTAAGCGGCAGCGATAGATCCGATATTCGGTTAGTCCTCTGTGAAGGGCTTGTGCTAAGGCAGAGGGGGGCGAGGATAAGCATAAGGATAGAGGACGGTGGGGGGCACGATCCCGTGTTCAGTGGTGGTGCTTGTAATTTTTCAGCATGACAAAGCCGCTGCAGTAGTCTTGCTTTATTGTGTCGTCATTGTGAGCGGAAGTTATCTCAAAGCCACACCCTCTACTTACATTGGCAGCGCATGTGTCCATGCTAATTTCGAGTCAGCCGACAAGCACTCCGAAAGGTACACTGGAATCTTCTTCGCTCTGCGACCTACTTGTAGCACGTGTGTGTGTGAAAGGGTGGGGACAGGTGATTCCAGATATTGTTACGTATTTTGCTACCATGATGGTTCTGTTATCGCTGATGATGTTTATTCACTCGTTCTGGAAGCTCGGCGTGCGTGCTTGACATCCATGCAGTTACAATTGGTTCTCCACATTCTAAGCGTGACATGTTTGCTGTCGTCTGCAATCCCTCCGGCTTATCCCACATCCTCATTCTTCCCCTGCGCCAGAATTTTTACAGTGCGATTGCGAATTGAATGCCAGAATGCAAGCGCGAGGAGCGCTCTTTATCCTCACATCACGTGGGCGGGGGTGATCAGATTCCAGTGCAAGAGCCCGTTCTCATCTACCCGTGCCCCCCTTCCCCTGTCCCCTCGACAGCACACGCACGAGCATACACACAGGCAGCCTCACTGCACATGCGGAGCGCGCAGGCGCCCGCCCATTCGGACACGTGCCGCGTGCACGCCACGGCGCACGCGCATATGCTGTTTTTGAGCCCCGCGGTCGGGGCGGGACGAGCCTCACGCGGTGAGGAGGACTGGCGCGCACAAACCACGAAGGCACACGCGCACACACGCACACGCACACACACACACACATCCGCACATACACATACTCATATACTCATGCACACATACACGCATATATACATAGACACAGAGACACGCAGACACACAGAGATACACAGACACACACATACACACACACTCACACACACATTCACACTCACACACGCTCGTTTTGGCGTCGCGGCCGTGTGCGCAGCGACAGGGCAAAACCGGATGAAGGCAGGCAGCTCCCAGACAGCGAGCGCGCCGCGCCCGTCGGGCGTTGCGCACTGGTGGGGCGATAAAGGGGGGGGAGGGTGAAGAAGGATGCCCTTTTGTGTGCCACACAGGGGCGCCCGAAGGGCATGAGCGGTGCACGTTTCTTCGCCCCCCCTACTTGTGATGCATCGCCCCCCCAGCAAGCAGCGCCCAAGCCCTCACCGGTGGAGCCACGGCGAGGTGCGCAGGGCGCCCTCGATCGGGAGCCACGCTGCGCGGGGACTCGCGGAGGGGGGCACAACGCGAGGGAGACGCAGGGCGGCCTGCCAACGGCAGGAGGGGAGACTGCCGACGGGGAGAGGCACGTGGGCACGCAGGGGGTGTTCCAGAAAGGGCCTCGCCCTCGAGGATGGAAGGAGCTGGTATCTCTTCCTCTCGAAGAAGAGAAAACGCCATAAGCATAAACTTTTGGCGCTCCGCGCGGATTTCTTGGGTCCGTGCCTCCGGCGCCGCCCCTGGCGCACTCCGCGCGCCAGGCAGGGGGGTCCAGCTCGGATCCAAGAAATCCGCGCGGAGCGCCAGACGTTTATGTTCATTGCGTTTTTTCTTCTTCTATCCTCTGCGGATGGCGGCGGAAGTAGAACGAGGGCGCCTCCGCCGGCGGAAGCCGGCGGAAGCTCGGCTGAAGCCGGCGAAGTAAAAGATGCGCCCCGAGGAGGTGGCAACAGGTTCAGGGCGTCCAGAGCCCGCCACGTAGTCGTACGCACCACGCGCGCATGCAGTTCTGCAGGCATTTGCGCATTCGCATGCACATGATCCTCCCCGTATCCTGAGTCCGGGGCTCTCGCACCAGCGTCTGCCACAGTCCCACTGCGAGTTGGTGTCGTCGCCCCAGCGGTGGCCGCTCCCAGAGGCGACCCTCGTCGGTGATGGCTGTCGTCTTGGCGCCGGGCGCACTTCCCATCGCAATGGTGATCTCGCTGGACGCCAGCTGCATTCCCGGCTCGAGGCGGTTCTGTCGCCCAGCGGTTGGCCACTCTTGGAGGGGGCCCGCGGAGGGCCCACACCAATTCCAATGGCGGGCACATGTACGCCCACGAAGGATTGTCCGCCAGGTTCATGTTTGCCCGCCTGTCTATGCCCGCCGCCCCCCGCGAAGAGAAAAAAAACCCAAAGGGGGTGTGATCGAATACAAAAAAGGCAGGTATCGAGGGCGCGGGGAACTCGTTTTGAATGACACACGAGCAAGTAAGAGCGAACAGTCTTAGAATGGTTGTTGTTGTTGTTTTCTGGGGGGCTGCTTCGGGTTTCCAAGGGATGCTGGTTTATCGACGGGCTCTTGGAGGCCTTTGCCCCTTCTCCTCCACCTCGTCCTCCTCGTCGTCCTCCTCGTCGTCGTCCTCCTTTCGCGCCTCCTCCAGCCCTTGTCACAAATAAGCAGCTCTCTCCTGTCGCGTCCCGAGACGTGTCGGTAGGGCGGGCCGGGCGTTTCGCCTCAGACCTCCTCACAATTGGTCATCATCGAGCCTCCCATTATAAGCTGTTTCGCAGATGGAGGGCGACCCATTTTCAAAATTTGGGTCTCGCCCGAGCGCCGCGCACGTTCGTCTTGCAAGTTCTGCAACATTTTCACGGATGGATGGTTGGAGGTTTTCAAATTGTGGCTTTCGCCTTAGCGCCGCGAGGATTTTTCAAATTTGCAAGAGTTTCGCGCAAGGGAGCAGGTGGTTGTCAAAATGTGGTTTTCGCTTTAGCGCCGCGAGCATTCATTCGTCTTCAAAGTTTGCAAGAGTTTTTACGGATGGAGGGCGGGTGGCTTTCAGTATGTGGCCCACGATTTAGCGCCGCACATGTTATTTTTCAAAGCTCGCAAGAGTTTCACGGATGGAGGGTGGTTCTTTTCCAAAATGTATCTCTCGTTTCAGCGCCGTGCGCAATCGTCTTAAGAATATACGGAGGTTTCAAGGATTCTTATGGTTGACGTCCCAGAAATGGTGTTCCGGGGCGATGTAGGACTGGCACGTTGATTCGCGGTGTTGAAGTCTAGGGAATGGCGTTTTGGCACTATTCGGGATGTAGGACTGGCACGTTGATTCGCGGTGTTGAAGTCCCAGGAACGGTGTTTTTGGCACGGTTCAGGGTCGCCAGGAAGCAACCGTAAGTTTGATTTGCGGCGTTGAAGACCCAGGAAAGGTGCTCCGGTACAGTTCGGGATTTTCAGACGGTTGTCTTCCAACGGGGCACTTCCTTCAGAGAGACTCAATATTTGTAGGTGCCTGTGAAAAGGGAACTTGGGACTTGGGGGGAGGTTTGGTGGCGACATCGTTGATGAGCCTTGTGGTTACGCTGGCCCTCCTCCTCGTCCTCCTTGCGCCCCTCGCCCTTCAGTTGACTGATCCTTAAGTGGACGCGCTGCTGGTGTGCAGGCTGTGTGCACCCTCCTCGCCTCGTAGCGCAGCGGCTCTCCGCGCTCCCAGCTCGGCGTGGGGCTCTCCCTTCGGCTCGGGCCAGGGGGGCGCCCAGTATCGCAGCCTCTGCGCCCGGGGGCGCCGCGCGGTGAGGACAAGGCGCCCACGCGCCCGCGCCCGCGCCCGCCGACATGAAGTCGGGCGTGTCCCTCTGCAGGAGGAATGTTCAAGAGTAGCCAAAACATAGTATGGGGACGATTTGTTGAATATTTTTCGGACCGTTTTTGAATATTTTCGGAGTTTTCGTAACTATTCGTCCAAAGCCCGCCTGTAGGGGGACGCGCCCGACCTAACGCTGACAGGTATGTGCGCGCTCTCCGTGTCGTCCGTTTCTCTGCCTTGGAGGTCCTGGGGTGCTCGTCCCGAGGACGCTGCTGGAGTCGACGCACCTGCTCGCGTGGGAGGGCATCAAGGCAGTGCTCGAGAAGGCCCCTCAGCCCTCCGGGGGCCCGATCCGCTCGGCAGAGGGGGGCCGCGCCTGGAGGCGCGTGATCCGCCGTGGGGTCCCGAGTCGTCCACGTCGATTTCTGGTGAATCGCAAGAGCTGGGGCGCGTGCCCGAGATGCCATTCCGTCCCTCCCTTTCGGCGGCAAATCATTTGAACCGGGTATACCCTCTTAATTCTGTCTTCATCGTAGAAATTCGTCGATTATCGTCTGGGAGTGGATGGGACAGCGCCGATTCAGCGTCGGTTTGCGTCGACTAGCGCCGACTTAGCGTCGTTTAGCGTCGATTTAGCGTCGACTAGCGTCGCTTCGCAAGAGCCGACAAGATGGTATGGGAGGCTTCCATGGCGACTCGGAACTCCTTCCCTCCTCTTTCCTCCATCCTTGCGTGCCCCGAGCGCGTGTGAGCCTCTCTGCACTCTGGGCCCGTCGCTCGTTCTGCGCCGTTCGGCCCCGTGAAACTGCTTCTGCGATGCGCCGGGCAGGAGATTCGGTCGCTCTTTTTCCGCCGCCCTCCTGTGGATCACGACAGCACGCCCAGCGCAAAGCCTGCGTCCGACGATGTCCTCCCTCCCTGCCCCGCGTTCTTGCCCTGCCATGCTGCATGCCTCCAGCCTCAAACCTATTCAAAATGATGTGAGCCGGCGTGCCTGCAGCTATCAAGCGACAAGCGATGTAACCGTGAGTTGCTGGGCACGGCAGCAACAGGGTCTAGCATTCCACTGGACGATGGCCAGAACGCATGTCTTGGATTGGTGGTTCTGTGACTGCGCTGTGGCATTCTTGTGCCCCGATGAGAAGTAACCGCCTGCAGCCTTGCGAAAAACAGGCACCTGCACCAACAGAATCCTTCGGAGGTCTGCGCGGATTTCTGGGATCGGCGCTGGGCCCCCCCTTTCCTGGCGCGCCAGTGGCGGCGCCGCCCGGGGGCTCCCGCGCAGATCCGCATTCTCGGCGCGGACCTCCGACAGCTTGTGCTTGTGCAGATGCTGTTCCCCTGGCGCTGCCCGATGACCTCGGGCGGTACCGTGCACCGTGCCGCCCGGCATCCGCGTGCGCCGGCCCCAAGCTGTCGCAGACGCTGCGCGCGCGCGTGCCGCAGGTCCTGCTGGCCTGTCCGGGACCTGTGGCGGGCCTCTTCGGGCGGGGAGGCTCGGAGAGTGGCGCTGCGTGCCTCGTCGTCCCCCCGGTCTCGGCCGCGCCCGTGCCCCCTCTCGGCCAGCGCACTCTCTCTCGGCCTCGGTGCCTTCGTCCTCACCTCCCTTCCCGGACCTCCAGCTTTTCGGGCCCGCTTGTCTTGCGGGCTTTCGGTCCGGCGCCTCCGACGGAGGGAGCGGGGGGGATGGGGGGAAGGGGAGGGGTAGAGGGACTGGGGATTGGAACAGGAGGAGGAGGAGGAGGAGGAGGAGGAGGAGGAGGAGGAGGAGGAGCGGGGGCAGAAGGATGAGGAGGAGGAGGAGCAGGAGGAGGAGGAGGAGGAGGAGGAGGAGGAGGAGGATGACCAGGGTGAGCCCGAGACGATGTGCAACAAACCCGCCCGCCCGTGTTCCCTGTTCATCGGTCCCTACTAGTGGCCTCTTAGAAGACAACCGTCTGAGAATCTTCAATCGTTCCAACAAGCAGTTCCCTGGACTTCAACTCCGCGGACCAACGTGGTTGAACACCTTTCTTGAGACTTCAACACCGCGAACCAATATGACCAGGCACGTCCTGGCAATCTTAAATCGTGCCAGAACATTACTTTAACCATACGAATTCATGAAACCGTCGAACGCTTCTAAGACGAATATACGCGGCGCTAAGGCGAGAACAGCATTTGGAAACGGGACCGCCCTCAATCCGCGAAACTGTTGCAAGTTCTTCATGCGTCGCGTATCCCCACCAGCCGATTCAAAATTCCTGCCCATGAGAGTTGACGGGAGGCACGAAGATACACATGCAGTGAAACAAAGCGGGCCACCAGGGTGAACAGAGAGATCATTCGGAGCAATGGGGGTAGCCTTGGAGGGCCTCTTCGGGCCATCCCTGGGGCCCGCGTGGGGGCGAAGGAAGGAGGAGATGAGATGAGATGAGATGAGATGAGACGAGATGAGATGAGATGAGGCAATCGCTTAGCGAGCCACGAGAAACACCGAGAGGGAGAGACAGGAGGCGGCCGCACGCGGGCGCCATCTTCTTCCTCAGCCTCCCCCGCATACAAAAAACGGGCACAGGGGCTCACTCGGTGACAGCTCCTCAGAAAGGCAGCAGGAACTCTCCGATAGGAGCAGCGCGTTCACCCCAGAGCTGGCAAGGCCACGGCGCCTCTGTCCCCTCCTCGTCGGCCGAGTCTCTTCCTCCTCCTCCTCCTCCTCCTCCTTCTCCTCATATTCCTCCTCCTTCGAACTTCGACCTTCTGGCGAGGTTCCTCCCCTCGAGCTCACAGCCTGGCCGTTTTCCGTTCCGCGCCCGACCTCTCGCCTCTCCGGCCGTGCCGCCCTGGGCCTCCCGCGGGGCACCACTCCCCTTGGGCGACCGCCGCCGTGGACCGTTGACGCACAGCTCCTGGGCGTGCCAGGAGCAGGAGACGGACGAGACCGAGCTGCCTCCCGTCCGTTTTGCGCGCCGCGTCCAGGCTCGGGCAACGACGCGCCTCTCCGGCCGTGCCGCCCCCCGGCCTCCCGAGGCGGCCCCCCTCCCCTCGGGCGACCGCACACGCCCCCGCGTCACGCCCGGGGGGCGGGGCACCCCTGGCCGCGGGAAGGATCGGGGTGAGTTCACCGGGGAGCCCCCCGCAGGGGACCCGCCTCCCGCCCAGGCGGACGCGGTGCACGTGTCGGGCCACCGCTAGGGGAGGCAAGGCGACGTGGGTGCAGTGTTCTCTCCCTCTGTGCCCGACGGGCAACACAGGGGTGACGAACGGGCTGCTACCCGCCTGTTTTCCTGGGAAGGGGACCCAGTTGCACAGGCGTCGCGAGGGAAGAAGGAGAAGGAGGAGGAGGAGGAGGAGGAGGAGGAGGAGGAGGAGGAGGACCACGACGACGACGACCACCACCACCACAACAACGAGGAAGATGAGTAAAAGGAAAAGAATGACGATGAGGGCAAGAACGAGGACGAGGAGGAGGAGAAGGAGGAGGAGGAGGAGCAGGAGCAGAAGGAGGAGGACAACGATGACGAGGACAGAGCCTTCAAAGTCGCCTCTTAGAGCCCTCCTTTGGACTCTTTTGGCGGATCTTGTGGTCTTCTTGGGGCTTTTCTGGAGGATCTTTGGGCCCTCTTGGGGCCCTCTTGGGGCTCTTTTTGGCCCTCTTGGGGGCCCTTGAGGACCTCTTGGACCATTGGAGCCATCTTGGATGCTATTGATCAAAGGAGGGGGGGTCCTCGATTTCTGCCCCGGCCATCAACATCGCCTCTTGGAGCCCTCTTGGGGCGCTCTTGGGCCGCTCTTGGGCGCGCTTGAGGCCGTCTGGGGGGCCTCTTGGGCCTCTTTTGGGGCTTTCTTGCGCCATCTTGAGGCCTCAAAAGCGCATCGGAAGCGAAACGGCGAGAAGGCAACAATCATTGATTCTCCCTAGGCGTTTGAAGGATTTTGGCCTCTGGGGGTGTCCCGGGGTGGCTCCGAGAGCACTTTGAACCGTCTTGTAGCCCTCTTCGGGCCTCCTGGAGGTATGTAGAACGCTATCTTGAATCATCGTCTGTTTTCTGGAGCTATCTTGGAGGCCATCTTGGAACATAGGACGCCCTCTTGGAACCATCTTGGGCCATCTTGGGCGCCCTGACCGATCGCGCCCCCCCCGCACACAGAAACGTCAGGGGGGGAGATCAACCTCCCCGACGGGAAGAGTGTTTGGAAGAGGAAAGAAAAAACTCATCAGACCACCGTAGCCCGAAGGGCTGGTGGGAATTTTCAGATTAATGTGCGCGGTGCTTAGGCGAGAACCAGATTTTGAGAACGACCCGCCCTCCATTCGTGATACTGTTGCAAGGTTCAGGCTTCAAGGCCAAAAGTGGTGAGGAAGTCTTCGGCAAAACGCCCGGCCCGCCCTACGGACACGTCTGGGGGTGCGACATGGAGGAGTTGCAAAGGAAGAAGGGATGGAGGAGGAGGGACGAGGAGGAGGATGATGAGGATGATGACGATATGATGGTGACGATGATGATGATGATTATGATGATGATGCTGATGATGATGATGATGATGATGATGATGATGATGATGATGATGATGATGACGATGATGATGATGATGATGATGATGATGATGATGATACTGATGATGATCTTATTATGATGATGGTTATGATGGTGATGCTGATGATGATGATGCTGATGATGATTCTGATGATGCTGATGCTGATGCTGATCCTGATGACGATAGTGATGAAGATGACGCTGTTGCTGATGATGATGGTGATGAGGATGATGATGACGCTGCTGCTGATGATGATTGATGCTGCTGCTGATGATGCTGCTGCTGATGATGGACGATGATGCTGATGATGGTTGTGGTGATCATGATGGCGATTCTGATTATGCTGATGATGCTGATGACGATGAAGACGACGACGATGATGCTGCTGATGATGATGATAATGACGCTGCTGATGATGATGACGCTGATGATGATGCTGATGATGATGACGACGCTGATGATGATGATGATGATGATGATGATGATGATGATGATGATGATGATGATGGTTGTGGTGGTGATGATGATGGTGCTGCTGATGATGAGGATGATGATGATGATGCTGATGCTGATGATGATGATGAAGAGGAGGAGGAGAAGGAGGAGGAGGAGGATACGCGTATGACACCCGGAGGAGGGATGATGATGAGGATGATGAGGATGAGGATGAGGATAACGATGAGTATGAGGGTGAGGATCAGGATGATGATGAGGATGAATGTGATGATGATGATGATGATGATGATGATGATGATGATGATGACGCTGATGTCGATGAAGACGACGACGACGATGACGACGACGATGATGATGATGATGATGATGATGATGATGATGATGATGATGATGATGATGATGATGATGATGATGATGATGATGATGATGATGATGATGATGATGATGATGATGATGATGATGATGATGATGATGATGATGATGATGATGATGATGATGATGATGATGATGATGCTGATGATGATGATGATGATGATGATGATGATGATGAGGAGGAGGAGGAGGAGGAGGAGGAGGAGGAGGAGGAGGAGGAGGAGCAGGAGGAGAAGGCGGAGGAGGATGAGGAGGATGACGAGGAGGAGGAGGAGGAGTAGGAGGAGGAGGGCTAGGAGGAGGGGGAGGAGGATCACGACCAGGAGAAGGAGAAGGAAATTGGAGGAGGGGGTCATGGAGGAAGGTGCGGAAGTATTGCTCAAGCCGCTGCGCTGCTTCCCCCCCGCACCCACGCCGAAGCTCTCGCCAGGAGCAGGCGCACATATTCGACCTCATGCCCGTCCCCCAGGACACTTGCGCACACGAGCCTCTGCTCTGCTCGCGACGCCACTCTTCGCAGAGAAGAGCTAGAGGACGGACGAGGAGGAGGACGAGGAGGAGGAGGAGGAGGAGGAGAAGGAGGAGGAGGAACAGGAGGATGGAAGATGGAGGATGGAGGATGGAGGATGGAGGATGGAGGATGAGGAGGAATCTGGGACTCCTAGATGGGGTCGGAGCAGATGGGGTCGGAGGATCGCGCCGCATCGCCGATGCATCGCCGATGCATGGGCGATGCGGCTCGATGTGGAGCCCGATTTTCTCCACGCCAGCGTCGCCGATGCACCGCTGGCGTCGCCGCTGCATCGTCGATGCATCGGCGATGCGGCGCGATCCTCCGACCCCATCTGCTCCGACCCCATCTTCTCCGACCCCATCTGGGAGGCCTCAGAGCAGTGCTGTGAATTTGAATGGTGGGTTGGTTGGGGTTGGAAGGTGGACCTGCATCTGTTGCATCTGTCTCGGCATCAGAGCCAGACGAGCACAAGCAGTCGTCCATCGTCGGGAGGCTCGAACCCGCTCAGGGAACAAGGGTGCAGACCAGCGTGACCCAGAGTGCTGCCCGAGCTGACGGAAGTCATCGCTGCGCGCGCGTGTTGCCACGTTCCAGGGTGAAGCTTGGTGCTTGCGGATTTCCACTTGATACTGTGCGTTTCGCTGGCCTCGCCCAAGAGGCCTGCGCCATTCCGCCGACGCCCGGAGGAGGATGCGTGTGGCCTCCGGTGTCGTGCTTGCTGTTTGCCGCTTCCCGGCGTGCTGGAACCTCAGGGTTCTGAGGGGTTTCCGCATGCGCGCGCGACGCCGCGCGCATGCGGATGTTGTATTTGGTTTTACATGGGATTCGTGCCCCGAGCCAGCGCGCAACGGCGTTCGAGTGATTTCGACACGCCCGCGCGAGAGGCCCGCTGGGCTGTATTTGATGAGGACGTTCGAACACCTATGACTATCCTGAGAAATCGAAAGAGCGGGCAGACTTGTTTTGATAACTCACGTTGCAAAACCGTTGTTTGTTCGCATTCCGTTTTCGGGAACCTCGATGTTGACATTTTTATGACACTCACGGCTTTCGATTAATTGTGGCATGCGCGCGCGACGACGCGCGCGTGTGGAATTCATTATCCCGACCATCCTGTGGTGTTGGGTCTTTGTTTTGAAGAGACAGCCCCCTGGTTCCCTCCTTCCTTGTTCCCTCCTCCCTCCTCCGATCCTTGCTTCTGCCCTGCATATGCCCTCATCTCATCACCATCATGCGTACCCGCACTCGATTCAGCACACTCCTCACATGTTTCGTGGCCTCATAGGGAGCTCCACCGAAGGCCCCAGCGGCAGGTCCGCATGGCGTACCCGCACCTGATTACGTTTCGTTGCCCCATAAAGGGGCTCCACCGAAGGGCCCAGCGGCAGGGTCCGCATGGCGTACCCGCACCCGATTCAGCACACCCCCAGCGGCAGGGTCCGCATGGCCGACCCGTACCCGATTCGGCACATCCTTCACACGTTTCGTGGCCCCAGAGGGAGCCCCACCGAAGGCCCCAGCGGCAGGGTCCGCCTGGCGCACCCGCATCCGATTCGGCACATCCCTCGAATGTTTCGTGGCCTCATGGGGAGCTCCACCGAAGGCCCCAGCGGTAGAGTCCGCGTGGCGTACCTTCGCCCGACTCGGCACACCCCTCACACGTTTCGTGGCCCCATGGGGAGCTCCACCGAAGGCCCCAGCGGCAGGTTCCGCATTGCCTACCCGCACCCGATTCGGCACACGCTTCACATGTCTCGTGGCCTCATGGGGAGCTCGACCGAAGGCCCCAGCAGCGGCAGGGACCGCATGGCGCACCCGCACCCGATTCAGCACACTCCTCGTACGTTTCGTGGCCCTGGGAGCTCCACCGAAGGCCCCAGCGGCAGGGTCCGCATGGCGTACCCGCACCCGGTTCAGCACACCCCTCACACGTTTCGTGGCCCCGGTGGGAGCTCCACGGGAGGCCCCAGCGCCAGAGTCCGTGTGGCGTAGCTTCGCCCGATTCAGCACACCCCTCACACGTTCCGCGGCCCCGAGGGGAGCTCCACCGAAGGCCCCAGCGGCAGGGTCCGCCTGGCGCACCGCGTCCGATCTGGCACACCCCTCACACGTTTCGTGGCCCCGAAAGGTGCTCCACCGAAGGCCCCAGCGGCAGGGTTCGCAGGGCGTGCCCGCATCCGATTCGGCATTCCCCTCACACGTGCCGTGGCCCCAGAGGGAGCTCTATCCAAGGCCCCGTGGCCCCAGGGTCAGCATGGCGCATCCGTCACACGTTGGCACATCCCTCACTCCTCCTCTCCTGCATCTTCTCGCTTGCCTCGCAGTGCCCGCAGCTTCACATGGCTGGGCCCTTCGCCCGGATAATTCTGGCAAGGGGTTCTTCAGACTTCATGGTTTTTGATAGGTGAGTGTGCGCGCATAGTTCTATTTGACGAGGATGGGGGCGAGGTGGGGTCGATGCCGGTCTGGCTAGGATGGTGTGGTTCACAGTTCAGATGAACGATGGGGCAGAACCGTATGTAAATTGTTCATTTCAGGGGGAACCGCGAAGACTGGGGGGTGGTTGTGGTAGACCTTAATTCTTTTTGAAATGGGGAATATATGTGGTGCAGTCTAACGGCCGCCCATATCGTATAACAGAAGGAAAGTGCAAGCAGTGTTGGGGTAATACCAGATAATTTTGCGAAGGCCCTACGGCCGTTGCCGCCGACCCTGAAGACGACGAAGATGAAATGGAGGGGCGCGGTGCATGGGGAGGAGGAGTGGCAGGAGGAGGAGGAGGAGGAGGAAGGGGTGCAGGAGGTGGATGAGGGAGGAGGAGGGGGGAGGAGGAGGAGGAAGAGGAGGAGGAGGGGAGGAGCCTCTTGGAGCCTTGGTGGGGGTGTTCTTGGAGAGCTCCTGGGACGTCTAGGAGGCTTCGTGGATCGTCTTGGGACCATCTTGGCCGTGCTGGGCCGATCTTTGATCGACACGGGGCTCTTGTGGGCAATCTTGGGAGCGGTTCTTTTTGGAGCTGTTCGATCTGTTGGGGCCGCCGGGGGGAAAACGAATCTGGGTGGCGCCCCCCCCCCGTGGCAACCCCACCGGGACCACCCCCGGGGACCCCCCCCCCGGGAAGGGATCAAAGGGAAGGGGCTCCCCTTCGACTCCAATACGACGTTGTACAATTTCGCTTTGGATGGCACGCTTGAGGAGGGCCCAGGGAAAGGGACGGGGGACGACGGATACGGCGAGGAGACGACTGTGACGACGACGAAGACGCGAGGAGACGATGGAGACGACAACTCGAACGGAAAAGCCCCTCGCACACGCCGACATTGTCGGCGGATGTAGAATAACCCCGGAAGCCCCACGAATGTCCAACGATACCAAAACATATCCACCACCGTCGAGATGCCAGCTGCACCAGCTCGGAAACCCGAGTGGATGGGAGACACTCCCAATGGTTGCCGTCTTCGCATAGTTGTCGTTGTCGTCGTCGTCGTCGTCGTCGTCGTCGTCGTCGTCGTCGTCTTCGTCGTCGTCTCTTTGTCACGCAGGTTGCCAGCGGGTTCGAGGCATGCTCGCATCTGTGTCCCATGCGGCCAGCGACAGCCCAGGGTCCTTGCGCTCCACACTGGGACCTTCGTGCCGGGAATGCCGCGAGTCCCTTGAGGTGCGGCCCATCGTTCTCCTCTTCCTTCTCGCCCCGTTGAGCCCCGCCTCGTATCTCCTCCGCGCCTCAACCTGCCTCCCCCTGCCTCCCCCGACCCGCCCCGATCTCCCATATCCGCCCACACCCTGGCCTCCTGCTGGTCTAACCGCTGCGCATCTTAGGCTTGAGCAGCAAGCTGCGCTTGCCGCCCACAGACGAATCGTCATCGTGCCAATCAAGTCCGGTGTCTCAATCGGTGAGCCGAATGTGCGTCGGATCCTGGCCGCGTGCTGTCGCTTCCCACCGACACCTGCGGGGCCACCGCGCTCGGGGATGCTGTCGGGGGACGAGGAACGAGGGAGGGGAGGGTCGCGAATGCGAGCGCCAGCGCGACTGCTAGAGGTCTAGCGACAAGTGCTTCTACTACTGCCACGGCCATAACTGCAACCACTCCTACTTTTACTACCTCCACAACTACCTCCACGACAACGACTTCAACTAGTACTATTAGGTCCTCACCGCGACGACTACTATTGCTACAACAACAACAACTACTACTACTACTACTTCTTCTTCTACTTCTACTTCTACTACTACTGCTACTACGACTGTACTACTACTACTACTACTACTACTACTACTACTGCTACCACTACTTCTAGGATTACTACTACTACTACTACTACTACTACTACTACTACTATTACTTCTACGACTATTACTATTATTACCCTGCTACTACTACTACTACTACTACTACTACTACTACTACTACTACTAGTACTGCTACTACTACTACTAATACAATGGCTACCATTCTTACTATCGGTACGGCATCTAGTACTGCTACTATTATTACAACGGCCAGTACTATTAGTACTATTACTACTATTACTACTACTATTACTAGTACTACTACTCCTACTACTACTATTATTCTTTTTACTACTACTACTACTATTTCTACAATGACTGCCATTCTGATTGTCGGTACGAGATCTAGCACTGGTATTATTATTACAACGACCTTTACTACTACTACTACTACTACTACTACTACGACTACTACTACTACTACTTCTACTACTACTACTACTACTACTACCACTACCACTACCACTACCACTACTACTACTACTACTACTACTACCACTACTACTACTACTACTACTACTACTACTACTACTGCTATTGCTACTACTACTACTACTACGACGACGGTTACGAGTATTGCTTTTACTGCGAGCATCACGACGCCTTTTCTAACATTACTAAAGCTACGGATCTTACAACCACTCGTGCTAGTCGTAATAGTATCGATATTA